TAGATACAAAACGACGTCGTTTTAGGCCAGAACGCACAATGCAATGTGCGCCCTTGTGCACGATATAATTTGCCCTTCTTACACGCGAGGACAAAATTATTGTGTAGACAATGAAATGCAATATACATTTTTAATATACTAAAATATATTATTTGAGTACTGAATTATATTATTTGATAATATATAAAAAAAATTATGTACTTTTAAATTCTGCTCACTAACGCCGCCGACGGAGTTGCTTGACGGAGGCGTAACCTTCCGCCATTGCAGGGAAGGAAGCAAGAGGTGGTTTGCTGGCTTATTCTTCTTACGCGGTGGCATAGTCTCCTCAGCCGCAAAGTTCTGCTCACTCACCATGCCGACGGAGTTGTGCCCGGGGTTGGTCGAGGGTGGCGTAACCGGCCGCCATTGCAGAGATAGGAGCAAAAGATTGGTTGTTCTACAGGCCTCATAACTCATAAGGCTGGATTCTCAGTAGCAGAATCACACAAACAAAAGCAAGAACAATAATACTGGGTTGATGTCTTATTGTCTGTTGGTTTTGGATCTTGTTCAATGGTTTTAAAGAACAAGTTTACGATGATGATTCAGATGGAATTGGAGCTCAGATAGACCAGAGGTTGAAGATGATGATATGATGAATTTTATGGTAAAACAAAAATGCGAAGAGCTGCATAGTTTTATAAGCTGGCAGGCATCGTGGCGTCATGGATACGATGACTTTGATTTGTTCGTTAGTACTACATTAACTGGTTTTAAGGTTACGGGCTGACCGTTGCATTTTGACCGGAAGGATATATAGTAAGAAAATTAAAAGTATAGAACTTGAACAAGTCATCAACTCGTTAAAACTATGAAACTTTACCATAAATATATACACCCCGTTAACACTATAATTTTTTGGTCTCATTTACATTCAACCTTCCCTCATTATTTATAACGTTAATCAAATTATGAATATATAGCTTTATAATTATGAACATATAATTCAGTAAATATGAACATAGAATTCTGTAATTGTGAATATAGAGTTCAATAATTATGAATATGAAGTTTAAAAATTATGAATATATAACTTTATAATTATGAACATATAGTACAGTAATTATGATAGAACCGTGTCCACCTTGCAATGTGGACACGGTTCTACAACATAACGATTGGAAAATATATGTCACGTTTTGAAAATTGATGGGCAACATTTATACCACTAATAATTTAGAGGTGACATTGACAATTGAAATATTTGTGAGGGGCATAAATTATAATTTTTCTTAATTTTTTATTAGAAAGTCACAAGATTAATTTTGGCCAACAATTTTCCAATCATAACTTAATTGAATTGTTTTTAAATCCTATGTTTTATTTCTTAGCTTCTTATCTATATTGTTTTCTAATTTAAGTGCATGTTTTGGTTTTAAAAAACTATTTTATATCAAACTTCCTACCAATAACCATAAAGTACTTAGTGTACTTAGTACTAACAATATATCTATAGCATAGTTTTCAAAAACTTACTCATTATACTTGATAAAATACTCGAACCAAGTATTTTTAAAGCATTTTCCTAAGTAATAAATAGAATTCACATCAAGTACAACAGTAGGCTTAAAAATCAAATATGCACGCGTGTTAGAGGTAATGATTAAAATAAGTTGAAAACAATAAATAAAAATTACCTTTGTCCAAATGCATCCAGCAATATTAGCATGTCTTTTTTCTCCAACAGTTTCAAATTGTTTGATGGTAGGTTGAATACCTCACAACATTTCTCCTATAATAAAGCATAAGTTAGTCCAACATGTAGTAATTTGTTTGATCCAGGCCAAACCATATCTTCAATTGCATTATATAATATTTGATATTCTAATTTAAATAATTATATATCGATCCAAATATTCTTAATATATTACAACAAATTTATTCCGTGCATTGCACGTGCAAAAATCCTAGATGTCCATTTCAAATTAAAACCTACAACCCTGAACACACATGTGGAGACCATGATGAAAACAAAATTGTTAACTCAGGTTTCCTTACTAGGTTGTACAAAGATGATTTTAGACTGAATATGGATTGGGGTAGAAGACAGTTTCAAGAGCATGTGAAAGAGAAATTGCATTGTCAGGTCACAAAGCATCTAGCTTATGTTGGAAAAAGTGCTTGTATTCTGTAATATATTTGAGATACAACAAAAATATAGAATACAACAGGGAACAAAAGCTGGATCATTTGATATCTTCAGGCGTGTAATCAATTTCCTATAAGCTTTAAATCTCTCTCTATAAAAGCAACAAGGTTCAAGATTTAATCTTATGGGATACAAGAAGATGAATAAAATTCTCAAGTTGCTTTGTTTAAGAATTTCCTGTAGAGATGTAAGCCTGTGAAGTATCTTGGTTTCCTGTAAAATAATTGCTTGTAAAATTGCATGTAAATTGCATGTCTCTTTCAGATGTTTCTCCAATATATTTATTGATGAAAAATATATTTGTTTGGAGAAGTTACATGGAAGTTGCTGTGATTTAAAACTCAACTTCCATAAGATAAGATATATCCTGATTGATATATTTATCACTGGAGAAATTAATATATATTGAGCCAGTAACTGTATGCAAAATTATATATATATATATATATATATATATATATATATATATATATATATTTATATATTCCTTACGCATGGAAACATGCAAAGGATAAATATAAATAATATACATATATGTTGTATAATAATCCCAAGCATATAGCTACATATTCCAAGCACGTTAAGTGTAACTTTGAAGCATATAACTTCAAAAAATAGAAGAGCATATTTCAAGCATGTTAAGTGTAGTTTTGAAGCATATAGCTTCAAAATGCCCCACAACCTTACGCATGAAAATATTCAAACATGCATTAATACTTTCCAGCATATTAGCTATATATCACAAGCATATAGCTATATATCACAAGCATATAGCTATATACTCTCAAACATATTAGCTATATATCTCAAGCATATAGCCATATAAATTTCTCCCAGTATTTTAATTAGCTTTCTACCAAACTTAAATAATATTTACAACTCCACAACTCCAAATATTATTTAAGCTTTCATGGTAGGTCATCTGAAACATTAATCTCCATTACTATATAAATTTCCAATAGCTTATAGGGCTAAGAGCAATGTTAGAAAGGAGCTGGAAGGTCAAGATTGTGAGCAGTTCAATTTATTGAATGATTATTGTGAGGAATTAAGGAGAAGCAATCCTGGAATTACTGTGAAGATGAAACTTGACAGTGAGTTTAGTGTTAATGGCAGACCTAGATTTCTTAGATTATACATTTGCTTTGCAGCTTGCAAAGAAGGGTTTCTAAGAGGTTGTAGACCCTTTTTTGGGTTGGATGACTGTCATTTGAAGGGTAATTAGAAGGGAGGGCAATGTTTAAGTGATGTTGGTGTTGATGGAGATAACTGCATGTTCCCAATAGCATTTGCTATTGTTGAGGGAGAATTGAAGGGCCGTTGGACATGGTTCTTAGAACAACTGGATAATGGTTTAAACATTTCAAGTAATCTTCATGCCTAGACAATTATATCTATAAACAAAAGAGTTTAATTTGTTATCAGCTGTGGAGGAGTTTTTTCCTGGATTGGAACACAGATTTTGTGTAAGGCGTATGAATGCTAACTTTCCCAAGGATGGGTTTACTTGCAATGTTCTCAATGTGAAGTTGTGGGCTGTGTGTAAATCTACAACAGATCTAGGCGGATTATAAAAGGCATTTGGAGGAGTTAAAGGAAGAAAATGAGAAAACAGTTGAGTGGTTGGCTGCCAGAGATCCTACTCACTATTGTAGGGCATTCTTTAGCACTTTTCCAAAGTCTGTTATGCTCTTGATCTGAATAACTTGTGTGAGTCATGGAATAGCACTATATTGAGTTTCAGGGACAAGCATATCCTAACAATGTATGATAAGATTAGAGTATATCTAATGACTAGAATGCAAAAAAAAAATAGAGACAAAATGAAGTCTTACCCACATAAGATTTGTCCCAAAATCAAAAAGTTACTTGAAGAGGCAAAGGACAGGTCAGCTAGGTATAGTAATTTGTCTAATTATTATTGACTTAATTACCATATATAAAAACAACCTAACAAATGTATAATAAAATGAATAATTATTAGCATAATTAGAATAAAAATTATTAGTGTACTAATCTGATCATTATTAGCTTATTCAGTTAATTAATTACCTAATTATAAAAAATAGTAACAGTAATAATTGTATAGTAATATAAATAATTATTAGTTTAATTAGAATAAAAATTATTAGTATATTAATCTGACCATTATTAGCTTTAATATAATTAATTCCTTAATTTTAACAAAGTAATAATTTCTTAATTATACTAAATATATTTAATTAATTCCTTAATTTTGAAAAATAGTAATATCTGTATAATATAATGTATAATTATTAGCTTAATTAGAATAATAATTATTAGTGTATTAATATGAAGTCTGGACCATTATTACAATTAATTCCTTAATTGTTCAATTTCTTAATTAGAATAATCATAATTGTAATTACAATTAATTAATTAATTGTATGAATCTTTTTATTTTTTGAATTTATTAATTAATTGTATGCTTTTATTTTATTTTATTTTAAATTTATTTTTTAGACAGTATTGTTGCAAAAGAAGTCTCTTCGCGGCTCACGATTCATTAAATCCTTAATTATATTCTAAAGCAATATATATATATATATATATATATATATATATATATGAACTTTTTAAGTTTTTTGTTTTCATTTTATCGTAGACATTCAAGATTTTTTTTTTTAATTTTTTTTTTTTTTTTTTTTTGAGAATGCTAATGGAT